TTCGCGAATAACTCGCGTAAAAAGCGGCCGATCGCAAAGAAACTTTTAGTACCCTCGAGGTGATCTATTTTACACCTACTCTAAAAATTTCATGACCCTGACCCAAATGACCTTTGGCCTATGATCTACCTTTCGAGACCATGTTTGTCCGGAATCGCAATTCGGCGTATGTCGGCTCGCATTAGCCGCGCGTTTGCAGTCTTTTCGTGGTTTAAAGCGCTCAAACATTAGAAATAATGTTGGTCCCATAAATAAGGGTGGGTGTCAAGGTCACCTGAAGGTCAGGTCAGGTCATTGACCTTTGATAAGCTCGGCTCACTTTTTCGAGTATTACATGTTTCTAGGCCAGTTTTTGGAGCTGAATTCAAATTTAGCAACCATATGAACATTTACGAAGTGGTTTTGGTGAGTTCGTAACATGCTACGAAGCTGTCAGAGGCGGTTGCCACCTACTACAAATACCCGGCAGGACCCCTACTGGTTGACCTGACCTGACCTGACATGACCCGACCTGACCTCAATGCATATCTGTGACCAAAACTAACATGATATTCGTGATCAGCACCCCGAAAAAAACCATAGCAGCCACACTCTACGACGTTCTAACAGGTCCCGATTTTCCCGACTTTTGGGTCATTGACCTAACCTGGAAGGTCAACCAATGACCTAGGACCTTAGAATTGGGTAACATCGGCTTCCTCTCATCACTGGCAACACGCTCGTTTTTTTCCGTGAAACTCTGGCTCGATCAGGGGCGAAACGGCAAGGGGGGGGGGGTGTCCAACGGACCTCCACCTTACACGTTCGCGGCTGGCAAAACACGAATACAGGCAAGGGTTAGCATTACTTTTGAGTTGAGTTAGCCAAATATGGGGGTCCCTGGCCTGCGCCTACCGTTTTGGGCATTCCCAACATCGAGAAGTGGTTTAATTCGGAGACATTTAGTTTCAAACTTGCAGTTTTCAGATTCTAATGGCTAAACATTTGAATGCCCCATTAGAATTTTTGACTTTAGCGGAGATCTACCGACTTTTAAATATTATACTATAGCCATCGTTACCACGTGGTTGTATACACTGCTTTGCGCGCAACGTTTGCCGCAATTAAAGGATGCTAAGTTATTGCTTGCAAATGCAGTTGCTAGGAACAGCGGATATCCCAAATAGTAAACCAAAGTAAAAGTCTGATATCTTGAAAACCAGTGAATATTTTCGGTGAAAATTAGTAGATATTCCCTTTTGATCTTTCTGAACATCGGGTAATCGCTTTTATGCCAATTCATTGACTTTTTTGAAGGTGGAAAGGTCCCTTTAAATTCAGCAGTCTCATGGTGTCGAACATGCGAATGCTCATGATGCACGAACAGCACGATAAGCTCTTTGTTTCGGTGCTGTCTGCTCAGGGGATCTGAAGAGTACACCTGCTCATGGACGAGAGTGATACTGTATTTGTTCGCTCTAGGCTCCTTTATCATAAACGGTTCTGCGACACCTGAGCGAGCGCCATTTCAGCGAACGACATTTGAGCGAAACATTTTCAGCGATTATCAATTTAAGCGATTGACCTTTTCAGCGATTGTCAAGTCCGCGAATTCAATCACAGCGATTATCAACTTTGGCGAGGACCAGAATCAGCGAAACCAGATTGAGCGAGTATATGGTGGTCAATGGGAGACCAATTGAGCGATGCAGTTACAGCGAAACCGAACGCGACAAAAGTCAATCATTTGCTACTTCTCGGAAATTTTTGCCCTTGGAATACCCGTTTGGTAGGTGTCATGCTTCAAGCTGCACGCGGCAAAATATAAATTTGCTTTTAAGTCCTTGGCCTTCCGGCATTTCTTCCTTCTCAGCTTTATAGTCACCGTGCTCAGCTTGTGGTCAATAGTTTTGAGCAGCTGGATGAACTTCGGGAACAAAGTAATTTGAAAATTATTGCACCTCTTTACGCATCATTTGAAGACACATACATCGGACGACCAACAAGGGGCGGGAGGGGAAGGAGGCGGGTAAAATTTGAATTGAAAATGTGGAATGTGAGAGATAGGACGACGGAAGGAATGCCAAGGACCAATAATAAACTCGAGAGATGGCACAGGGGAATCCAGTCTATGTTTCAGGGACCTCACCCAAATACCTGGAAATTTGTACGGTGCTTGGGGCAAGAACAAATTTTACAACATGGAAACTGATCCAAATTCAAGCGGGGGAATTTCGTGAAAAACAGCGCAAGCGATATGAATCTCTGAACAAATGTTTGGTCACCATTATTGGCAAAGAGCAGGGGAGTGAAATTGAACCGTTGAATTTTTGAGAAATGTAGCATTAAATTTGGAACTCAATGTCTGACCTTAGAACGTGGCATCCGCCATCCAGTTCCGGATAACCATGAGAAATTCCGAAAACATTCGTACGCAAGGTTACTTTACTATTATACGTATGCGCTGGCAAAAGAAAAAAAAATACACCGTAATAGGACGATGAAGTGTTTCGCTGAACCGACAGTCGCTCACATTGTAGTCGACGAAATAGGTATCGCTGAAACATAGCTTTCGCTCAAATTGATAATCGTTATATTTGATAATCGCTTAACTTGATAATCGCTGAATTGCCATTCGCTGAAAATGGTTCGCTCAAATGACGTTCGCTCGAATGACACTCGCTAAAGTCGCTCGCACCGATCATAAACGTGATCATTTATAACACACATTGTTACATGAATGTATCATTCTTGCGCAGTGCATTATATATTATAAGCATATGCAGCTTCTCATCTTTGACGTTCAGCAACCGCCTTCCGGCTTTTTTTAATACGCCCACATAGCTCAAGACGGTAGTGGAAATGTACCTTTTAAATGCGCCGAAGTTCTGATGCCACGCAACTTACCAGGAAAACATCAGTTTCAGAGATGGCTAAGAAGTTAATCCGGTAAACGTTACATAACAATCCAAGAATCAAATTTCTGGTCTCTGCAGGCCACAGTTCCTCGACAACTGGTTTGGGGCCTCGGAAAATCCCAGCAGACGGCTTTGTATAAAGGCATGAAGCCTCCGGTGAGCCTAATTCTATCGAGTGTCATCGGTGCACAGTGAAACAACACTAAGGTCAGTCTATGACATAGGGGTGTATGGTGTGACGTGAGCCTCAAACGCTTTTCGTAAAATACATGATCTTACATAGAGTGGCTGAAAAATATGCTGAGAGATATCGCTGTTCAACGAACAACGTACTTCTCTCAAATACCTATCAATTCTTCCAACTTAGTGTAGCTTATAAATTAAAAGTTATTTGAAAATATATAAGCATGGCCTTTCCTCGATATTGAATAAAAAAGTGCCAAAAAATGTACTTTATTGATAGAAAATATGTGATATTTCGGCCACTGGCCTTTGTCGAACATATATCATCAAGATATACAATGTTCCTAGCACAAGCACTTAACTCCATCAATAGGTAATTATAAATAAAAAGATTTAATAACTGAAAACACGTCGCAAATAACCTTTTTAACGCATCTTCTTGGTTTTCAGACTCCATCATGAAGACCGCCGTCGTTCTCGCCTGCCTGCTGGTGGTCGTCGCTGCCAGGCCCCAGTTTGGATTGGGCACTGGTTTCAGTAATGGTGGTTCCTTCCAGTCGCAGCAGACCGGCTTTCTGGGCAGCGCAGGACGGCAGACCAGTTTCGCCAACTCTGGGGTAAGACGGACAGGGGAGCGAATAACTTTGGTCCGAGATGCATATATATTTACCATCTTTATTATGCATATTATGGTATATGTGTGTCCGGGTTGCTGTGGTTAACTAGAGTCAGGGGAGGAGCAAACGTCGGAGCTCATCTTTTACCGATGTATAGAAAACACCTTTATGTGGAAACGGTAGTTTATTGTAAATTGCGCCCGCTGGGAAACAGGGAAAGAACAAATAGCTTTATATTTTGGCTGAATGTTTTCGGTCAGAAACACAGGTTAATGTAGTGATATTGTTATACTATCAGCACAACATCCCAAGACTCAATAAGATAGTATTTAATAATATTCAAAATACCTCTAAATGCCGTATAATTTCTTTCCAAGTGCCACAGGTCTTTCAGGGGCACTTAGGAGGTAGGTTCTATTGATCTTTGGCTGGGCATTTATATCCGTCTAAGAATATATCACCTGATGTCATCATCCTCATCCTCATCATGTATTGCGAACAAAACAAGTCTATGCAGGGAGGTGCAAAAGCACTCCGTGCTTACATTGAGGCACCGCTCCCGTCACCTATACAATATACATGCAGCAACTTCACCAAGCACATGCATATGCATTTACATCCCCCAAAATAGCCTAATCGCGTATTAACTGAGTGATTTCTATTTCAGGGATTCGGGTCCGGTCTGGGAGGCTCCTTGACCGGCGCCAGCAACTTCGCGGGCCAGGGCCTGGGCTTTGGAGCAGGACGTCAAGTCGGCAGCACCAACGCCTTCAGTAACACGTTCGGACGCTAACCAAGGATGCGGGACGTGACGAGTAAATACCGACTGGTGAACAGCAAGGAACGTTGACAAATGAACGTGTTGATGGTGGATGCTGGACGTTTGCCCTGTCCGAGATTGGCGTGGAAGAATCCATGAACTTGCGGTGTTCCTGTCGTGCTGTGTGCTATCGAGTGACTATTGGTTGTGTGTTATGTTGCATGGCGCCTGGTCTTATTTCTAGCGAACAGTGTGCCAAGTGACACGTTTCTATTGTTTTGCGATATTTTTTTTTTTTGTACAAATATATGTGATAATAGTTGTGAGGTTTCAAAATAAAGGAAAATTTGATGGGGATGCACCCCCCCCCCTTCCGTTGATGGACCCCTTCCAGGTTCCAGGTCCCCTTCTGCTCCGGAAGGCTAACAAAACTGAACCTCTTTGACGACAGACAGTTTGTGTACCGAACGTCCTTTTGAACTGTCCATGGAAATAAATGTGCGGCAACGCCTATGTACAACACATCACAAGGAAACACTATTATTCCGTATCTCAGCTGGTGCCAATTTATTGTTTCACAAAACTAGCGCCACATGCAAATGCCATTCTGTTGCAACCCATAAAACATTTCGAAAACAAAATGTAGCGCCTGTATCGAAGACCGATACGCATCTAGCTGAAATCCATCTATAAAATCACCGCGTTAGCGTTTCAACTGATGACCGAAAACGCCGTTGGTGGTGAACTGACGCCCTCAGAAGTCCAATCTGATGACCTGACGACCTCTAGCGTCCGAACTGGTGGCTGAGGGCGCCGGTATTGGCGACCTGACGGCCTCCGAAGAGGCCGGTGCCCTGTGCCAGGTGACTGCCTCCCGAGTTCAGAGAGGCGCCGCCCAGGCCAGCGAAACCCTGAAACCGAGCCGCCAGTGATGATTGGGTGATGATTGGGGTTAACCCGCGCACCGAAACAGTAAGCACAAAACTGATGCTGCTTGCAGCATTGATGCCATTCCGGTAGCATAAAATCATTCAGGGTTTGGAATGCAGAACAAGCATCGATGGCCTTCAATAGTATAGCCCAGACATGACAAAAATATCTGATACTTATTGAATAGCCTTGAAACATTTTTTTTTTATAAAACAATAAACGATAATAATGACGCTAAAAGAAAATGAATATATAAAATATAGAATAAAATAAATGAAGTTAATACTTTAAACCGATGTATCACACGCTTAACCCGCGCACCGACGGGGGTCTGCGCCAACTTCGCACCGACGGGGGGGGCGGATGACCCCCCCCCCTGAGATCTCGAGAACGAAGCAAGATAGCGACAAGCGGTAAACGGCATCGGATACGCACGGCCAGGATCTACAATTTTTACTAAGGTCATTTTCAGGTCAGGTCAAAGATGACGTCACAGGGGTCGAAAAAGTCAAAATGGCGGCGCTAGATATGGAGAGAGTTTTTCTCGAATAACTTTCGAATTAGTCAAGATAGGAACAAACTAAGGGCATCATCGTGATCCTCTCGTCAATCCGCATCGAATGATATATATGTTGACCTCGAAAGGTCAAGGTCAAAGGTTGACCTCAGGTCACGTGACCTCGAGGTCATCATGTATATCATTCGATGCGTCTTGACGAGCTGAACACAATGAGACCATCCACGCGTCTGTATCTTGTTCCTGTACGGAGTTATTGGCCAAAAACCTTTGGTGACCTTTGATGACGTCACATGACCTCACAGCTGCCCAACAGCAAAACAGACATCAAGGTAGTGAAGGTTGATCGTATATGAAGTCATGTAAAGTATATGGGGCCATTCCGACCCGTTTTAGTGGTAAAAACAGGGAGTTGATTTTTCCCCCATTGACTTATAATGGGGAGGTCGCGAAATTGACCTGACCTTAGGTCACCGATATCAAAATTCTGAGATATACAAATTGTAGCTACTAATGACCTAATAATATCCTGCGACTTTCAAAGGCCTCCGACATCTACTGTAGCTGTGGCACGGTGACAAAGTTGCAAAAAAGTGACTTGAGGTTGGGTCATTCAAAGTGACCTGGTGACCTGACCTTAAAAGGTAGGAAGTTCAAACTTGCACACCATGTGTAAAATTGATGAGGTTATAGTCATACCAAATTTCGCGGCGCTACGCGCCGCGGTTTTCCCGCCATTCGCGAAAAACCTCAGGGGGGGGGGCGGATATCCGCCCCCCCCCCGTCGGTGCGCGGGTTAATGTGTATGCAATTGGAGTATTATGTATATGCATATGCACGTTTAATGTATATGCACGTTTTAGGTATCAAATGCATTTGGAAACGTCACTCAAAAATGCCGGTCCGAAATATCTAAATAAATGTAAAATTTTGTACCTATTCTTCTGAATAAGTCCGAAACCTCTTAAACATCGATTCTGTATCCTGAAGAAACGTGTTTAATGTCACTCAAGCCATTTCCAGGGGATGTATTTACTAAAATGTGTGGAACAACACTCACCCCGGCGTGGCTGCGAGCTCCCTGGTGACCACCAGAACCAAAGAGGCCACTCCCCTGGCTCTGGAATCCGCTAGAGCCCGCGCCTCCAGCGGCCAGTCCAAGTCCTCCATGAAGCCCAAAAGGCTCAGCGGCGACTGCCACCAGCACACACGCGAGAACAAAGACCGCCTTCATGTCTGGATCTGGAAAGAGATGCTCGATGTTCACATGGTTTTGACTCGCGGCGCGGCGTCTCGGTAAATAAGAATGTTGTGAAGAGAAAAGAACATATTCAGGTGACAATTGCAATGCTACAGCCACATTTGAAAGTGTTATGGCAGCATATGTGACCGCTTCTATCAAATTCACAATTATCCTGTTTTTTTATTTATTTTTTATAAATTTAGTCCGAAACTTTTGATGGGAAGGATTCACAAGGACAGAGCCACCGCTAAGCGAAGCTTGTTGCGGTGACCCTGCCCTCTACCCTCCGATCGCGCAATTCCAGTTCTATGGCAGAATTTAGAGTCCAAAGTTTAACGTGCGCACATAGCCGCGCAGGGCCGGTCCCCTCACTGACTTCACCTGGCTACGGCCTGCCACCAACCGCAACCATACCTGTCAGGAGGCCCATAAATGTCAAGCGCCCGTCGCGCTTCGAACCCGGACTGTTGTAACCGGGAACGCATGCTCTCACCACGCGGAGTCCAACGCTCTACCAACTGAGCTACGGGACCGGCTTTTTTATATTTCATTCTAGCTGTATACGGGTTAAATGTGCTAGTCGTGCAGAGCAATACGAAAACGAAACAGAAGTCATTTTACTTTCAGCTATCAATTACCTTGGATCAAATGTGATTACCTAAAGAAAAGCCTTGCGTCGCTGAAGAATAGTGAGCGAGCTTACCTGTTAGCAGGAGGGTGTTCACACTGAAATAATTTTGGATCGAATGCTGATTGCAGTCCTTCCTTCTCCGTTTTATACCAATTTTCGAACTGGTTTCTCCAATTCGTGAATGCGATTGTGTCCGACATTTCCAGGAATTTATAGCCTAAGCCACTGCGTCACTTATTGTCTCAAATGCGCTCATTTGTATTCCGCTCTGACATTCATGTACTGCCTAATGAAGGCTATGTACATACAAAATGCACCCTTAGACGAAAGACAAGGAAATGGAAGAACAATGAAAAATGTCTGAGCATCTGTTGGCTCCTTTCTTCATGGGCTCCATGAGGTGATTAGCTTTCTATGATGATTTCATGTTTTGTTACAAATAAAAATGACGATAGGCGGCGGCCGCGGCCATAACGGCCGGAGCGACACCAGCGCCACCATCGGCGGCTGGTCGGAACTATCGCAACGGATCGCACGTTAATTCAAATTATTTAGTAACGATACGTTATGCGTCAACGAAACCTTTACTGAAAATTTAAGAAAAATGCATTTCATATTATAGCTTAATTTCATGATACATCTCGCGATGTAAATAGGTATTTTAATGGATAATTTGATTAGTAAATAATTGCATCCCTTCAATTAACTAATAATATCATTGCACATATTTCGCATTCGATAAATGCCCCACCGGAATATGAAAGCCCACAAAGTAAGCTTTCTAAAAATGTATATTAGTCACAAGTCAGTGATGGCTTATGCTACTTTTGACGCGATTGTTTTCGTTATCGGTCGATATAACATACACTTTTACTATATTCCAATGCGTACAACTCAGTCAAATTTGAATATTACGTTAATGCCCCAGTAGATATTTAAACATCAATTAATTGCCGTTCGAATGATGTTACGCATGCCTCAATGGTGCCTACCCTAAGCTACTTTTTTCTCGTGTCTTGATAAGTAAGCACTAGGCAAAATTGTGGTATCACCATAATTAACTAATAAAATTATTGAATAAATGACACCTTCGATAAATGCCCCACCGGAATACGAAAGCCCACAAAGTAAGCTTTCTAAAAATGTATATTAGTCACAAGTCAGTGATGGCTTATGCTACTTTTGACGCGATTGTTTTCGTTATCGGTCGATATAACATACACTTTTACTATATTTCAATGCTTACAACTCAGCCAAATTTGAATATTACGTTAATGCCCCAGTAGATAATCAAACAGCAATTAATTGCTATTCGAATGATGGTACCCATACCCCCATTGCGCCTAGCCTAAGCTGCTTTTACCCCCTGTCTTCATTGCCAATCACTGGGTGCAATAGCGGTCTCAGGCCTTATCCGGGCAAAAATGATTTTTAGGGTGAGGGGACAAACGCTAAAGCTATTTCTTTCAAATGTGGCTACTTAAGCGTTTCAAATAAGAGTAAAATTGGGGAACTTCACTTACCTGAGCATAATTTACTTAATCTTAAAAATTGACTATCTAATCAAAGTATCAGTAGGCATGATCCAAACATGTAGGTACCTAGGCATGGCGGCGATGGGAGATACCTGTCAGGGTGCGGGCCAGTTATTTTCATGTTCAATCTCTTCATATTGACGCAATCAACGTCACGTAAATATAGAATGTATATTCTTCGCAAGTAGCATATCAATACATTTATCACAAATCTAATGCAGTCACATAAACACATTTTGACACGCACGCTCACGCACCAGATTCTGATGCGCCAACATTTTGATAGGTGCACATTCGCTCGCAATTCAAGTCACATAACAATTTTTAGCTGCCTTCAACAGTCGGCGGCCGTCCTGCGTCAAGGCATGTCGCATTCCGTCCTGTTTTTCAACAGGTTGTTGGGTAAACACTTGCATAGATTCTGCCCGCCCAGTAGTTAAATCGCAAACATGAAATAACTGAATACGAAGAAGAAAAAAACGGGCCGATCATGGACAACAAGAACACCGACAGGAACATTTTCATTAAGTTCGCAACCTCGTGGCGAAGTTAATCGAGATCACGACTTATCGTCCTATAGGTTCATGACTTTTACACACTTTAGAAGTAGCAGTCGCAGTGCATCCCGCTTTGGAGGCCGAGGAAATCCATGGCAGGAGGGCAAAAACAAGAACAATATGATTTTGTGACGGCCGGCTTTATCTAAATTACTAAACTCCACTTTTCGTCCCGAACAGCGATTTTTCCTCGGCATGCTATTTTACTCCGAATGAACTCGTGACTCGAGGTTTAGGAATTTCGCGCCGATTGAAGTTCGTCGGAAGCACGGAGGACGTTTCTTTGTCTAGGACGAGTGGTACGCGTGCCTCCATTGCGTGTAGCCCCACTGCGTTTCCAGCTGGCAAATCTCGGTGCTGACGATGTCCTTTAGGTCCACTAAACGTTGATGCACGTAGGTGTCGCACTCATCTGTAAAGAAAAGCCAAATTGTCACAAAAACATTTTCTTCAGTGTCACTGTCATTCACCAGAAGGCTCATATTTAAAACCCCTTAGCCCTAGGTAAAAAGATATTATGAGGAATTTCGGTCCCCACTAGTGAAACTTCACATTCATGCGTGAACAGCCTGATGGTAATATTCTTATTTGTTAAACAATAAATACAAACTGATAACTGACACTGACATTACTATGAATCAGCCCAGAAAAAGAGCATACTACCTAGGTACTTGACAAATGGGATACCAATTTCAAAGAAAGTAAGTCAATTCTTCAAAGCAGCCTGAATCAATATATGCAGGCTAGAAGCATATGCCTACTATCTGAGGAGTTAACAAGCAGCCGTTTAATGAAGTGGGTTGCAGACTGCAGAGCCACCACAACAATTCTTGAAACTGCACATGAGTGACACATGTTCTGATTTCAGCAGCATGTTGTAATGGCATTGGGTGGTAATGGCATACTAATAAATTTAGTAGGCACTACTTGTTGCATCAATGTTAAATAGGGAAGATCAATACATACTCGGGAAGCTGATGTCAAAGGTAGTTATGAAAGAATCACTTCAAACAACTTATGAAAATGTTGTGAAAGGGTTCCAAATAATTTACAAAAGGGCAGTGTCGAATGACTCATCACAAAATTATATTAATGCTTGGGTGTTAGAGGGGAAAATTCCTCTCCAAAAAAAGGGATGAGGGTGGTATATTCTTGATAAGGTTAGCCCCGCCCCCCCCCAAAAAAAATGAAATAAAGAACAGAAGAAGGAAAAATTGCACTTTCCTGTACAATGGTAGAATCTGATGCGATCATGCAATTAGATGCTCTTTCATGAGTGGTAAATTGCTATTGAAAGTTGGAGGTGGGAGTGGAAAATTATTTTCATTTGGATGTCTTGTTCCACCCAAATTGACAAATTTTGGGACACTGCGAATGAGTTATGAAAATTTTGCCAAAGGGTTCAACAAGTAAACAAAAGTGTTGTTTGAAATGAGTTATGTAAAGGCTGTGAAAGAGTTATGAAGAATTTGCAAAAGGGTTCCTTCAAAAGAGTTCCGAAAAGGTTCCGAAAGAGTTACAATGAGTTAATGAAGAGATTTTCTGAATGAGATATGAAAAAGTTGTCAGAGGGTCACAAATAATCTATTAGAAATTTGCTTTAAATGAATTATGAAAGGGCTGTGACAGGGTTACAATAAGTTAATGAAAAGCCTCTTTCAAATGAGTCAGGAAAATGTCGCGAAAGGGTTGCAAATAATTTACGAAAGGGTTATTTTGAATGAGCTATGAAAATATTGAACATAGTTAAAAATAAGTTATGAAAGGGTTACTCTGAATAAACTAATAAAAGGCTGAGAAAGGGTTACCATGAGTTTACGAAAGGGCTGTTTCAAATAAGTTATGAAAAGGCTGCGAAAGGGTTACGAAGGGCTTGCGTAAAGGCTTAGTGAAAGGGTTGTGAGTTGTGACCTAACAAGTTGCGAAAAAATCACAGCAGCTTTAGGAAAAGAATATGAATGGATAAAGAAGTAACAAATTTTGTTGCAACAAGTGAGGAACAATGTCACACTAATGGGGCTATAATTATACTCAGAAATAAAAAGCATCTCAGTCTAGTCCATGAAGACTGAAGAGCAGGCTGCACTTAATTGGTGGCTTACCTCGAAATCACTGGCCGACTCACCCCTTCCACTAGATTGATAGGGCGATTAAACACCTTTTTTCAAATAACGGAAACCCAGGCAATTGCCTAAAACCCAGAAGAAACGTTTGAACCGCTGGAAATGCCGAGAAATTGGCGGCAATATACATTATACAGGGACGTTCACAAAGTTGGCTTCAAATTCGGATTCGGATTCCAGCACCACATTCGTGGAAAAAATGACAAAAACGGACCCCTCAGAATCGATTCAAATTAACAGGATAGATAGAGCAGGACATGCTTATTACGAAAATAAATCACCTAGGCTTGGCACCCCCTAAGAACTGAGGAATCTTAGGTCAAAGTTCAAGGTCATTCTCGGCGGACCCTTTGGATTCTCGTAAAAATTGGTACAACTATAGTCCATGAAGAGCTGATTTCAAAAATATCAGTTTCTTACTTTGGCAAGCAGCACGAACTGATATATAGTAGGTCAAAGGTCAGAATCAAGGTCACGTATGTGTAATACAGGAAGTGGAAGTGACCACGTGGTCAGGTGAGAAAGGAGGACCCCTTAGATTTCAATAATTTTTTGCTCAATGATGCAACCAATGTTGTAGATGCTACTGCTGGTTTTTCTTGTTTTGGCAAGGTCAAACTACGGAGAAATGACGGGTCAAAGGTCAAGGTCATTTTTAGCGGACCCTTTCGATTCACATATAAATTTTTATCCCAATACAATTTTTAATTCTGGTTATTATTCTCCGTAATGTTAGGCTTGGCAGGTCTTAAATTATTTTAAAATATTTAAATAATTTAACCTTTAATTCACCTATCCCAACATGGCTACCGTGCGAGCACCTATCAAAACCTTGATGAAAATAACAAACCGAAAATCCATTTGACCTTGGACGTGCCCCGTGCTGGTGCACTGGCCTTAGGGGTGCTGAAGGACTTGATTTGGTAGGTATAATGTGTTTTGGTGTGGGTTATTGTAATTTTAATGCATTGCACATTGCCTGATTTGCGACACAACTTACAAAATTGAAATAGCAGTCGTAAGTAGTGTCAGTTTCGCAAGTTGACCTTGCCTTGTGGTATACCGAATAGGTCACAGGTCATTCCGGTCATTGCCTCGAAATTTACGTGGTACGTGTAAAATTGTTTGAACTTGAGATCCTGAAAATTTTGTTGCAATCCATTGATGCTAATGCAAGTTATAGAGCTTGAACTGACAGGTTGTCTATGAGGCCTCCATCCATGCCAGCGAGGCAGCAAGAGTGTTGAAAATGGTCCATAATATGCTATTTCACAT